ATGAGTCAGATAAAATACTAATACTAATAATAATGTAGCCCATGGAGCCAGATGTGAAAGAGACAAGTGACAACTGAAAAGAAAAACTGTGTGAATGAATGAAGATAATTCACAAGTGCAGCCATTTTTGGCCATATTGTCCAATCACATCTGCCTCAATTGAATTTTGCAATATCTCATGAATTTAGTTGCTATAATGTTTTAAATCCTCCTGTCGGGTATCATGCAGGACCTGTGTTCAAATTAGTGTATCAGTCAAAGACCTAAAGCCAGAGATGTCCTTCTCTTGACTCAGTCCAAACATCCCCCTTAACATCTCATTTTAAACTGGACTTAAATCCCTTGTTTGCAAGAACATTTCCACAGGTTGCAGGTGCATGTTACAGGAATTAATACAATGCAAAAGGAAAAATAAATCACGTAACCTGAGAGATCCTCTAGTTTAGAGTCAAGTAAAATCCGGTTTAAATTTGTACTGTTCAATAAAGAGCCCAGTCATGCTCTGTGTGGAGAGGGAGTCGACTTAGTCAAAAAATAAAGTTGCTATTGCCAAAATAGCCTTGGGAGGCTGTTTTTTTGTAATAATAACAATTTTGCAGTAATGAAAAACAGAGGAACCACAGATGTTGGAAAATGTGCGCATACTCAACAATACTCTTTATAGCAAAAAACATAAAGTTGCTTCTTATGACAACAGCATTTCATCAATCTGTGTACATTTATTCAAACCACCCTGACCAGACCTCAAATTAGTTGTATAAATAGAATAAATAAATTAGGTTTAATAATGTCTGGTTTTAAGAACATTTAAGAAAAAAAAAGAAAAAAAAAGGGAACTCCAGGAACACCACTTAACCTAAACAATCCAGCCTTCAGATATGTGGCTCAAAGATCAGTGCCGAAACCTCATGCTGCAACACAAAGGCTCTACACTGTTCATATTACCATCCTGACAAACCATTCACCATCCCCTGCCCTTTCCTTCCTAATACCCCTAAACAAGATCAAAGTCACACTAAAGCAACAAGTCCAACAAAACCATTCACAATGACTATTTTGTCTTCTCATTTCCTGTTTTTCTTTTCTGTCAAAGTCTAAAAGAAGTTAAAATAGATATATAAACTAGAAAATGCATTTCGTGCTGAAAATGCATTGGAATGCTGAAAGCTGAAATTAATTGTAAAGAAATTGCGGAAAATTGAGAAATGGGAGACTAGCCGTCTGAAAAATGATGAAGCCCGAAAGCATTTAAACTGCACTGCTGAAAACCCTTCTAGTTGAAATGTCTCATGGTGTCTGTAGCTGAAAGTATGAGGAAGAAGAAGGCTTTGAAAGTTGAAGAAGTTTAACAGGATTTGAAGATTTTCTCCATAGAGATCCCATTCAAAAGAAAATTGCAAATAGCTTAATATTTCAAAGAATTTAAAGATTACAAATATGAAAATTCATATCACCCCTCTCCTGAAAGAGCTGAACATTTTGATATTCAAACGGTTTCTGTGGCTTAAAAAATGTCAGCAGTAGTGATATTTGTAGTAGAAGTATTAGTAGCATTAGAATAAGTACTAGTAGTAGCAGTAGTGATATTTGTAGTAGTAGAAGAAGTTGTAGTTGTAGTAGAAGTATCATTAGCAGTAGAAGTATTCGTAAGTAGTAGTATCAGTAGTCGTAGTAATAGATGTAGTAGTAAGCATTTCAGTTAGAATTCATTCTGTGGGGCTTTTATTTTAAAATGGAGGGGGGGGGGGGGGAGTCCTGTAAAAAGCTCTAAGTCCTGAATGACTGTATGAGACACACACACACACACACACACACACACACACACACACACACACACAGAGAGAGAGAGAGAGAGAGAGAGAGAGAGAGAGAGAGAGAGAGACACATACAGAGATATGATTTATTTTCATTATTTTAGCCGATTGTTGTAAATGACTAAAAAAAGTCATTTTAGGATGTTTTGAGGCGAGAAGTTAGTTGTTTAAGCATCAAATCTGTGGTCGGTTTGTCAAGATTCAGCCGATTTTAAAATCTGCTCCGACGATTGAGATGTGAGGTGTTGCTAGCGGGACCGGTGTTACGGCCCTACTGGTTTCCCTTCTGTGCGTGTTTTGTGTTCGCTTAACAGCTGCAGCGGTTGTCTGCCTCTGTCGCCTGATTCGTCACACATTCACAAACATATTGCTCGAGATCCAAAAGACACATCTCATATCAATTGCAGGGATTACGATTGTATAAGTGAGCACTGCATCACAGCCACGTATGAAGAAATACATTGAAGAAAATACATTTATGCAAAGATTGCAACAACCTGGATTCAAACTCTGTCCAGCAAAACAGTAAAACTCCCTAAGGGGTCGCGCTACGCACTCCGCCACTTGCGCTTGGTAACTTAACAGACATTCAGTAATTTATTCACCAAGTCATACGTCATCAGTGTCCAGGAAACGTTTTGGTTTAGGCTGAACTGAAACAACCGGTTCCCTGGGGCGTATCTTCGAACACTTACAAACCTTTTTATCAATGCTTTTTCGCGAGGCTTTGCCCATACACCACCGACGCATTTTGACAAAAACAAATGTACTTTTGTGACGATTATACAGTGACGATCGTACTTTGAAAATACACTAAATAATTGCGAACTCTTGTTCGGTCGGTCAGGATACGTTTTGGGGCGCCATGCTTAAAAAAATATATATATATTATGCACAATGTCACTACTTCAGCTCTCTTAGTTCTTCGAGACTTCGAGCCACTTTGCAGTGTATTTGAATGACATAACCCGACAGGAAGTAAACATAGACCCAAGTTGTTGCCGAGCAGTTCAGTTCAGTTGAAACAGTGGAAGCTAGCTCACTGGCTGATTCTTTTTCAGTATTGATCAAAGGACGAGGATATCAACATACCTCATGTTGCACTTAAACTTAACAGAATTGAATATTCTTTAATGTTTTATTTTTATTTATTTATGATATTTGTGATCCGTTGCACCCCTAATATATATAGAATTGTGTGTGTGGAACAGATCCGGATTGCTGTATGCTTTGCCGACGAGGAAAACGCTACAGAGACCTCAATACCAGCGGCAAGTTTCAAAAAGACTCGCCGAGATCAGGCTGTATTTGACTCCGTCTCTTTCTTCCCTCCTCACTGTACTATATCTCCTGTCTCTCACTTATTCTCAGACCAATCCGAGATCGGCGGATGTCGGTAAATAAGTGAACTGAACTCTTTTCACAGTCTCATGTAACATGTGTGACGCTATTATATTATACACAAGTCTTTTCTGTCTCTCCTATAAAACAATTGCTGTTTGTCCTTCAGAGGCCACCAGCAGAGGGCATTAGGGCGCGTGGCCCCTCCCAGTCCCCACCCGGCTCCCCCTGCCCCCCACCCGTCCGCCGTCGGCACCTGCCGCCATCGCCACGCCGCTGCAGCCCCGCCACCCCCCAACGTAAGGTGCTTTTTTTCCGCAGCCTGGCTCCCAGGCCAGCTCGAAGGCCAGGAACTGCGAATCTCAGATAACCTGTGACACATCTTTCTTTGACAGGTGGAGGAGCAGAGAGCCACATGGGGTAAATTCCTCATTTATCTACAACTGCAGTGTATGTGGAAAAGAGGCATCCGAGTCTCCAGTTAACCCATTTGTGCTGCAAGCCCAACATAACGTTGGTGATTGTCCGGTCGAGAGAGAAAGTGTGTGTGAGAGAGACAGTGAGCATGAAGTTAGCAGTAATGTTACGTGTGTGTGTGTGTGTGTGTGTGTGTGTGTGTAGTTTATTAGTTGGTGAATAAATACAACTCCTTAAGACCCAAGCCAAGCTCCACTAGACTGTGGTGTCATTGTAAAATGAACCTCATCAAACCTTCTTTTCCTTTCTCCAGGAGTGGTCGTCGGCGTCGGCGTTGTCCTCCTCGCCTGGCAATAAGTATGAAATCAAGTATAAACTCTGTAAAAATAATTTACATTGTTCGAGTAACAAAAGAACGTGTTTAAAGAAAATGTTTTAATTGTGAGGCCAAGCTGTACTATAATACAGTTTTTGTTTATTGTTGTTGAACACAATTTGTGTTCCTTTGCAAATATCACCGTAGATCCAATTATTGCTTAACAGCATTCCAACAATAAATAACCACAGAGCTGCCATGTGTTTGGGGCCAAATACTTGGGAGTCAGTTCATAAGTGGAGAGGGAAAGTGGAGAGCTGCCTCATTAGTTTCCAATGCACTGAAGTCCAGATCTGATCCTGTGTGCCAAAGAGAGGAAATGAGCAAACATAGTGGTGTTACTGGGACACTTTTGAAGAGATGGTTGTTTGTTGAACACACAGACAGGCTCGTCTTGTCGAGCTTCATTGGGGATGAAATTACAGCAACCAGATGACAATGGCAATGTTTTCCTCACTCTACACAAATTAAAGGAGCACGCCGTTTTGTTTTCTGTACATGTTTTTAGCAGATCATCAAATATTGAATATATGAAACATTACTGCCAAAGCACGTACAGTACATTATGTGTCATGTGCGAATGCCAGCACATTCTCACCCCAATGCGTCAAATACCGCAGCTTGGTCAGTGTTCCTAAACTATGAGGCTCTACGTACCACTCTAACGTCAGTTTAAGACGTGTCTTGGATGGATGTTGCAAGCCCGGTGTGTCTTACACACAGAGTGCCTTAGAGCTCGTTGTGTCAGATGCAGAGGAGCACTGACCAAGCTACGGTCAATCTTTTCTTGCGCCCATCCATCAGCTTTTTAAACCATGCCTTTGTGTTTGTAGGGTTCATCATCTGCGGAGCATGTGGAGAGTTTGGCCTGATGGTGGATGGAGAAAAATGCCAGGTTAAAAGGCATTATGCTGGTTATTATTAAAGAGCAGATCAAACACTCGCTGCTCCAAAGTGATTATTTTGTGTTCGATCCTAATGTCACCTTCTGTTCTTTAAAGCATTCAGGAAAAACAAATAGCGAGCCAGAAACAGGGCTACGACAGACAACATGAAGTCCATTTTTTATTTTGTTCTAACCGCAGATTGAAAGTATACAACTGAACATCATGGTTTGATTTTTATTATGAGACTCATAAATAAAAATACAAAAAAATTACACTACAAAAAACAATCTACTGTTAGGATGTAAAAAAAAAAAAATTCTTTTATTTTCACTATCAAAGGCACAACATTGACTTTAGTGACAACATGGAGAAGAGAACCTGCAGCATTAAATCTTTTATTTTCCTTTTTATTTATTTTTTCACACTCAGAGAACACTGACATGTTACAAAGAGGTGCCTGACTCTACATGGAAAAACAAAACAAAAAAGAACAACCTCTATATCAACAGACGGTGGCTATAGATTGGTGGCACAGCTCAACAGGAAACGTACTGCCACGGAAAAAAATAGCACGTTGTCGCTGGAAAAGACAAAGGACCTTTGCAAAGCTCTAATGCAAATTTCAAAAAAATTATACAACTGACAACAATAAGAGAACAAAATAAAGAAAATAAAAAATAATAATTGGGCACCTTCTGAGATTAGGCTAAGATTAGGTGCTGAGGTAGACAAAAACTATAACAATTCAAATCATAATAAAAACACTATTTTCTTAATACAGAGCAACTTGACTGGCACTTGTGCTGTCACAACAATGGAGGAGAGAAGTAGCACAGACAAGCCAGGGAAAGAGAGGGAGAAAAGCTTTGTTACATAAAAAGCTTTGTTATGCTTGGTCCGACAGGGCAATTGGTCCTCAGTGCTAATATAAAAAAATACAATGTCTTGGTGCTTTGTTACTCAAAACAGTTTTTAGTCTAGACCTCGATGGCACATGCATTGCAACACTGCATGAAATGGCTACTTTGTTCTAGAAACACCACACCAAAACACAAAGTGCCAGCTCCAGGGATGCCATGATTCTTCTCTGACAAATTTAACATCCCCTTCTCAATGCATTTTGTAGAAAAGAAAAGAGTACTTTAAAAAAAACTGAAGCAAAGCAGAAGGGGAATACCCTAGTGCCAACCTACCCAAATGGAGGTTCTTTCTTTCTTTTACGTTTCAAGAGAAGTACAAAGTTCTCATCAGCAAACCTGTTGCTGACAAACAAATAGAATGGACACTCTAAGTGCAGAACCAGACCTGGGCTTAGTTTGCTTTCAGAAAAACTATTTCATGGAGCAGATTTTGTCCCGACAGTCTTTGAAAGTCTTGCAGCCGGTCCGGTTTCCGATAAATTTCTTTATGTGTCGCTAAATAAATGCTTTTGGGCGCCAAACACAGCGTACGGCCTGAGAAAATAATAGAATGCAGAATCGCAGTTGCTATTTCAATAACATTTAAGGGTTTATTGCAGTCCTTAAAAAGGATGCCCTGTTCTATTCAGGATTTAAAAAAAATAAAATAAAAATCAGGTAATTTTCGTCATGACATCCCTAGGGTGCTGGAGACACCATTTTAATTTTCTTCTGAAAATACGGAAACTAAGCAGATATAGATGGATATTTTTGTTGAACAAACTCCATTTTTAGGCACAAAGATAGTACAGAAACATCGGAGGAACACTGAGGGAAGAACTATATCGATGCCAATGTATATATATATTTTTTCCAACATAGAGAAAAAAAGTGGCATAGAGTATCATTGTATTTTGTATCTGATCTGAAATTAGTGCATTTTTCCACTAATACACACGCACGCACGCACGCACGCACACATAGTTACACACTCTTTCACCCGCACGAAAAAGTAGAAAACATTCAGAGGACGATGACAGGAATAATGTGACTGATCAGGTCTTGCATTGTGGTGGTTCAGACTGAGCCGTGACTGGGTATATTATAGTGGGTGGATATTATATGAGGGTGAAAAAGCCCCTCAGCTCACAGTGTTTGAGAATAAAATGGCAAGACACCACGGGACATGCCATCCCTTCTTCTTTTTCAAATACAAAAACAAAACAAAAGACATGTTGACAGTCAAGTTTGATTGAAAAGTTGTAAATTACAAGTACTAATTGGTCGGTTTGGCAGCGCCTCCCTGCCGTCCCGTATTTTATAATCCTTTTTTTTTTTTTTTTTTCTTTTTTTTTTTTTTTTAACTTCGTCACATACAGACACAATCGTAAAATTTGTGGCGGATAGATTTAGTCCTTCACCTACAATGCAATTGACATCCAGAAAGCAACACTTATTATTACAATATGTTCACACATGTTTTTTGTCCAACAATATCAAAGAGGAGCAAGGCAAAAATGATTCACACCCAGAGAGAAAAAAAACAGGTAAAAAAAAAAAAGAAATACAAATATTTGTGCCCTGCTGTAACCCTCCACAAATGGAAAAAGGACCGACACTGAATACAAAAATATCACAATTTTTAATATCAAATTGCCTCTGTTGGCTCTTGTTCAGGAATACGCTCATTTCTCAAGAGAGCTTGTCAGCCGAGACAATCTCTATTTTTAACCTTCTGTTTTTTCTGTTTTGATTACCACTTGCAGTTCCAATTGTCCAACGCACTCTGCATCACTGCAAATATGACCTGTCCTGGGCGGTTCAGCATTTTTGATGAACCTTTTTTTTTTTTTTTTTCACATTACAAAACTACACTTCTATTCACATATTTTCAAGTTTTAATTCTTGTTTTTAAACCCTCTTAACAGCAATAGTACTTCCTCTTATCTGCCGCATCCCTCTTACTCATCACTTAAGGCTTCAAAATTGCTTTTTCTTTTTTTCTTTCTCTGCTCTTCTGTGGTTGGAGGTGTGGGGGGGGGGGGGACTATAAGAGGAGAATAAACATCCATTTGAATTACTTTCCACATCCTATCAACCTCTACTTTTGTTATCTCTTAAGCTTTTATATACATTTTGCTTAAAACACAGACAATCATAAATCAATCAAGAAAAAAATAAAAGCATGAGATGAAGTAGCAATGATCAAATAATGCAAAACACAAACACAAACAAATTTGCTTTTGCTAACAAATGAAAACAACTTAGAGGTAGCTTTTATAACAAATGACGAAACCTTCCGTCTCTTTAACAAGCGGGGTTAATAATACCAAGTTTGGTAACAAGTAATGCACAAAGAAATATACAAAAACAAAAATCTCTTCACCGTGGCACTTATTTTTTCTGCGTACACATTGCTTCATCATATCGTGCAATGCATCTTTTCGACGTACACTCATGAACACACACAAAAGTGTACAAACGAAACAAAAAGGGGAAATTAAAATACACAAGCAACATGAGGTCACAAAACGAAGTAATTCAAGTACGATGTGTTGAGCTCAAACTCAAGGTCAACAGTAACAACAACAACAGCAACAACATCAACAACAACAACAGAAGACGAGAGAGACGAAGCGCAGGGCCAAAACCACAGAGAGCGGGTTGATTTATTCTGCCGTCTTACTGCTGGGCAGTGTCTCGTCCTATCAGTGATTTTCCCCTTTTTCCACTGGCTATTTGAATAGGTGATCACCCCGGTAACGCTGCGACATGCAGCGATGCTCATTAAAGCCGTAGGTTCAATCGTAATACCTGCGGCTGCGTCAGTCATTCAGGTCTAATGCTGCGTTTTCAGAGAAGACGTCGGAAATTCCCACCTTCTTCTCAACAAAAAGAAGCCTTTCAGTTACGGGCTGTATACGCAGAGCTTCTTTCAAGATGCAGTCATGTCAACATTGGGAATATATGCACCATTTTAACAAAATATAGATAATGCAAAACTCGCCTTTAGGTCCTGATTTCAGCTGACGCTCTACTCCAGTGGGGCATATTCTCAAAAATAAATCCACCCGCTTTGCCCAGTTCGTAATTCCGCTTTTTATCAGTATACATTCAAGTTTGAATTTGAAGACCTCACAGGCTTGATAATGTGATCTGCTCCAGCCCTTCTGTCAGATCATTTTTGTCTTATCTTATCACAACACCTGACGGTGAACGATCACACATGTTCATTTTCAAATGTAAAATAGCATTTACAGCTGCGAGCTAATGCATGCTGCAAGGGGGAACCGCATCCAATGTCGGATGGAGAAAATTTGAACCAGCGGAAGGCATGGGGAGAAATAACCTCCAAGGTGGGAATTATAAGATCCCGACTTCCATTGAAAGGCGGCATTAGGCTGCTATGCATTTTGACACCAGTCTAGTGCGAACCCGGCTCACAGTCATTCACATTCATGTTTTGATACCATGTAACAAACTTCAAACTGCCACACCACCATTGTCAAACGTAAAGGTGTGCAGCTACGGCATTCCCAGCCCCTCTTCAACATTCACAACGAGCAGTCGAAGTCACAGGACTCCCACGGAAAGCAGCCTTTTCCCATTTTATTTCCCATCACTGTGGTGAATGGACAGATCTGTTGTGGTGTTACAAAGTGTTACTGTTTATGTGTCAGTTTGTGTAGTTCATCATTAGTGCGAGATAATGACAGTCGTCTGGTTAAATGTACATGGATATAAGCAGTCCAGTTATCTATTGCTGAGTAGGTGGATATGCTGGGTTTAATGTGGCATACTGTAATAGCCAGTTATGATTTAATGGAAAAAATGTATAACTTGCAGACATCAAACAGAGACTGTTGTCGTAATTTGTTTTACCTGTGCAATCAAGCCACGATAAACTATAATGCGGAGCTAAAAAAATATAGAAGATTGAAAAGTGAAGTTGGCTCTCTGGGGAGAATCGCAGGTGGCCAGTGGTGACTCGACCATCCCCAGCCCTCATCTGAGCGAGATCCAGGAAGACTGCTGAGAAAACCGGGGAGACTTCCAACATAAAAGCAGCGCTACCCCCCCCCCCCCAAACAACAACCAAACAGGTGCTTGGTTTGCAGTATTTTAGTATTTTAGTGCTCCCATTCATCCAGTTCAACTGTTTCATCTGCTGCATACGTCTACTGGCTCCGCTGCAGATTCTCAGGGGCTATCTCACTGCCACCACTGGGATCGGAGGGATCTCATGTATGAACAGGTGATACTGGCAGATTTCTGTGAAAAACGGGGACGATCTGTGTCTACATGCGCAGGTAGAAAGGACAGGAAGTTGCAAAACAGATAAATCTCCCATTGGGGATGGAAAGAATTTGGAGCATGTTCGCCCAAAGCAGTTTATTCAAACTCTGCACTTTGTTTGGGGAGGTGAAACTGCTGGAAAATATTTCTCAGTCCTCCTCCAAGATAACTTTGTTGTGGTTCATAACTACCACAGCATCAAGGTTTGTGGAGAAGGATTTTGGCTTCTGAAAGCCAGCAGTTTTCCAATACTGGGAAACCAAACCGTGACATGATAAACTGGGGGCCTAAGTTCATATTCGCATATTGTTCATGTGATCCAAACTAGTATGACTAAGCAGGGCGAAGGCAAACAAACCATGTCAAAATAGAACAAAAAAAAATAAATTCCCCAAAATGGAGTGATGGCAAGGATGTGCAGGTTCAGATAGCCCTTGAGAATCTGCTTTCTCACTCGCAGCAGCATCTAAAAAGTCACTTCCTTGCAGCTCGCTCGCTTTGTGGCGCTGCCCGAAATGACCTGAAACAATAACACAGTTGCAGATGTAGTGAATGACCCGGTGAATCCGAACTATGGTGGAGAATCTCTCTCCGTGTCCAAGTCTATCTCTTCTTAGCACTTTTGTCCCACTATCACCACCCTTTAACCCCGTCGGTCGGCGCCGCCTTTGCATGAAAAGTAAAAAGAGAACACAAACCTTCTTGCTTTCGGGTCTCTTGCCGTTGACATTCCTAAATCGTCAACACTCTCACTATAGCCTCCTTATCCGCTCAATTACATTCCCCTTACCTCTCAACCCCGCCCCCACCCTCACACGTACTCTCCCCCTCTCTCTTCGTTGACTCTCCCGGCCTCAGACATAGCAGAGGTACAGGTAGGTCTTCTCAATGCGCCAGTCTGGGGGGACGTCTTCGGGCTTGTGGCCTTTCATGTGCTTCTGCATGGCTGACAGGCTGGGGCAGTAATCCAGGCAGATGGTGCATTGGTAGGGTGAGGCGCCGTTGTGGGTGCGCAGGTGCTTGATCATGGCCGAGTAGTCCCTGGATCGCTGGTGGCAAAGCTTGCACTCGAATGGCTTCTCACCTAAGGATGATAAGGGCGGGTGGAAGACAACAATTATGTTAGCCAAAGTGCAATTCAGTGACAGTATTATGCCACTGTTGAGACATTGTGATGTGCCTCTTCATCAGGAAACAAATGCATTTGATATCAAAATCAATTGAAAGTCAAGGAAAGGATGTATTAGTCTGTGAAGTGTTCTGATAAACACAGCACCGTTTGTCATTCACACCCCAAAACCTTTCACATTATTTAAATGCAATGTGAAAATTCACTCATATCTACCAATACTAATAAAGCCCTTGCTGTTCCTCAAATGGTGAACTGGAAGAAGAGGTGTGGTAAAAACTGCATCATTATGAAGGCCCCGTACCAGAAATGTAATATTACAGTTTGCATAAAAGCATATTGTGGATCTTCTATGCCTTGACAGCCAAATTGCTGTGGCCATTTGCAGTATAATTACAACTTTAGCTCTTGTTTTTGTGGTTTCGCCCATCACTCCTGTCAGTTATGATAATGTGCTCAGTGAGGGGTGATTGCAGAAGGGTACACACATCGCTACAACGGAGTCTGAGGGGGCAAGAAACACGAGCAAACTATCAGACAAACCAACAGTTTGGCCAGATTATCCAAACCCCTTTTTTTGGAGGTAAAAGTGGGTGCCAAAATGCTGGCAACAACCCCTTATTGCACAGGACAACTGTGTGCACCGTAAGTATGGTGCGCTTTAGTTTTCTGTCAAACCAGCTAACCTGTTTGTTGTCCGACTGTCAGACTTATTTTTAGTAATTGTAGTAATTAACTCAGCGACTGATGCTTTTATTGCTGATAGGAATGCTGGCCAAATCTACATAAATAAGAACCACTGTGTAATAAAAACGGAAAATCCTTTAATGGCAAAATGTTGTCTACACATATACTGACAGTTAAGACTGCAGCATATGAAACCTGTTGTGTGAGAAGTAAAAAAAAACAACTAAAAACTCTATGTCAGGGCTTCAGGAGAGAAGGATGTCCCATTACTACAAATTTAGAGACCACAGATTTCCCCCTGCTGGCCCACAAGAAATTTGGATGTTGTTATGATAATTGGACTGTGCACATAGCAAGTGACAAGCCAAAACCCAAGAGTGGAATCCCAAACTGTCTCCTTAACAGCAGTCTGCAGCAGTAAAAGACCACACTAACTCTTTTTGGTCATTCCAACTGCCCCCAATAATTGGCACAACTCAAGAAGAGAAAGACGAATAAAAGCATGAACAGTAGTGGCTTGTTCACCTCTGAGAGACAGTATCAACACAGTGCCAGTCAGGTCCATTAAACTACCCCTCGAGCAGCTACCAAATGATCTTCTAATTACTCTTGTGGTTGGGGCGATACAAATCCTTTGTGTTCAGTTGTTATCAATTCTGCCTTTATTAAAAAGACACCAATGTTCTGGGATTTTGGAACCGTGCAAGGCTTTCTTTTCACATCATGCCGTGCAGCAGAAGAGAATGAAAAAGAGATGTCCTGCTATTAAATATAATGTGCAACTATCAAATGTGGCAGCCGCTGCTTCTAAAACCATGCAGAGAATATCCTTAGCTCTTCTTTTGAAAAACCATCAAAAGACAACACTAGGGAATTATGACATTGGAATGCAGATAACATCTATGCAAATACATAATTATATTGTGTTCATGTAAACTTCCAAGTCCAAAGGTCTGAGCATTTCAACTGCTTCTCAAGGTCTGAGATTCACTTTAATCTAGAGTTCTTGTGTTTCTATGCCCTGTCTGACTTCGTTGTAACAATGTCAGTATATTAGCAGATCTCACTAATTGAGCCCCGCCCCCTGCTGCTAACCCGTCAAACTGTCAGAGCTACCATGGAGCCCACACTGCCACTAACTGCACTCCCTGCATGAATATAATCTGAATTTTGGAAAAATGAAAAAGCGATTTTTCGGAAAGAAGCAGACAGAAGGGTCTACAATATCAGTTTGAAGGATAAATCCATAGTGTTAAACTGACTCAGCAGCAAAAACAGCTTAAAAAGATAGAAGATAGAAGCAACCACCTCATTATCTGGCGATCTAGAGAGACAACACTGTTCCTGTGGTACCCCTTGTAGGTATTTTTCCCACTGTTTTAAAAAAGCCAAAAGCAGCATTTGGATACATTTTGTATACCTTCAGCACTGTACTAATGTTAGCTCCACAGGTTTTTACGTAGACACGTAACATTTTCTAAACCATGACTAGCTCAACATCCACAAAACCAGCCTGAAAATGTAGAAGATCTGAGACGATTGCATGAGAGTCTACGCAGAATCGGATAGTTGTCGGATGCTGGTCAGAGCCGGCCAATGCTACGCTATGAATCGCCAGTCTGAGTTGGAGGTTAGGACTTAGCGAAGGGTCAATTCATTTGGTGACTATAATGGCACCATAACTGTTAGAAGTGAAGGTAAACGCAGTGGAAAATGGAAAGGGGCACCCAGTAGAATGCATATCTTCACCAGGTGTGTCAATAAATGGCAATATCAAACAGGAAATAAAAGATGTATTGAGAAAGTGTTAGTCACCTCAACCACCAGAAGTCCTTGAGCAAGCAGCCATGAATGAGCCCCAAAATATTTTGCAGTACGGTGCAGCTGTATGCGAGACACCCACGCATGCACACTCACAAAAGACCAATCTCATTATTTCCTGGCACAGATAATGATTACAACTGAACCATAATAAATTAGTTAAGTTTTAATTGTGACAATACCTAAACAGACTGGGATATAAACTAAAGATAAGATCTAACTGGGCAAAAATTACAGGAATGTGTGATGTTTAAATGTCTATTTCTTTTATAACCCACATTTAACCAATCTGGTACATTACACAAAATACAGCTCAATCCATGGAGAAGTCCTGAAGGTGTCATAAATCAAAGTGTGTGGCCGCTCTCTTTCTGTGGGAGGGCTGCTTATATTCAAGAAGCACATTTCAATTCAGCAACAGCAGCCATCCTAAATGTGCTAATGATTTGAGTGATGGCAGGGAATAATCCACCAATGCTCATGCCGGCAGACGCAAATTAGACATGTAAATGCTGACCTTTACCAATGGCATTTGAAATGAGCTGTCGGATGTGATCTAGCCCAGCGCTCGCTGTCACCCTTCAAGCTGGAGCCTCGCACATGTGTGCTGGCAAAAACGTGTGGCCTCGTGCCTACGCTGCTCGTTCTCTGCCTGTCCTTTTGGAGCCCTGGTTAACCTTGACCTCCGTGGGGGTTAGGGTCCCTGCGTCATTCGGCCAACAAGCACAAATACAGTGTCGCAAATCGTCACCCGTTGCTCTGCAGCAGTGTGGACACCTGCATTACGTTGATATCGATAACCAGACTGTAAACACGGTCGCCTCAAATAACTAGCTAATAATGAATTGCAAATGAGGCCCAGGTATTGATCCGCCATTGGCATTTGGGATGTGTGGAAAGAAGGGGGCGGTCGCGGTGGGGTGTGGGAGGGGTGGGTGGGTTTGGGGGGGGGGGGGGGGTTTAGGTTGCCAATGTCGATGATTCATCAAGCAGCTCCCTTTTGTGAGATGTGGCCTTTGACTGTGAGCTTGTCACTTGCTCTTGTTATCTGCTGTTGCTCTCCGGCTTAACGCAAAGCCCCCTCCCCCACACAAAAGGGGAAAGGGTGGATGGGGGGAGCCAATTATTGGACAGGCTGCCTTGATAGTGTGGCTTAACAGCTGGCTTATTGAATGGGAGATGGGAGTGTGCTGCTGCTGCATGTGTGTGTGTTGTGTGTGTGTGTGTGTGTGTGTGTGTTAGAGAAAAAGAGATGGTGAGGAAGCATAAAGCTTTGGCTGTGTGCCATCCTGGTGAGCACTCATGATATCCTCACTCAGTCTGCTACGTAGCGTGCACTCATTCTCCAGGGCGACCAGCTTATCACTGTGTCAACATCTTTATGGGGCTCTAAATATACTGGGATCAATACAAAGTCTTCGGAGACATTCATCTACTGTATCACAGCAACAAAGATATTCATCTGGTCTGGTTTGTGCCTTGCAACGTGGATTTCCTACAACAGGGTCCTTTCCCAGGCACCAAAAGCTGCATCGATATATTTCAACACCGTCTTATTATGAGTGGCAATGGGATATAATGTTGCACTCATTTCAAATTACGGAAAAAGTGGAAGAATGGGATGACGTGTCACTGATACAAAGTGTTTATGATACTGTATATATTTTAAACAAAATGTGTTTAAACGGTCCCAGAAATAGTTCCAAGTTGTTAGCTTAGCATACAAACTGCAAGCAGGGGAAAACAGCTGCCAACTCCTCTAAAGCTCGCTAATCAACATTGAATCTTGCTTGTTTGATGAAGGATTGGTATTTTAGAGGGAGTTATACTGGGTAACGGTCTTGGCAGGTCTGATCCCATTGTGCCTGCACAGAGACCAAAACTTCTGCTCACAGACCATATCTGGCAACCTGTGCTAGAGCTTTAGATGCTGCAAGAGATACTCTTGGCAGAAGGATAAACCGTTGTAAATCAAGAAATAGTTCCAGCACATAAATCCCCACAAACAGTTCCCAATCCTTTGATCATCAACATAAATTAAATGCAGCGTCTTTCTGTTCAAACAGCCTCTTTGTCGGCTGGACCTATTTTGATCACAGTACCTGTGTGCACACGGTAGTGGGTTTCCAGCTGGTGCTTGAGGCTGAACTTCTTCCCACAGCCGTTACATTCGTAGGGCTTCTCCCCGGTGTGGATGCGCTTGTGGCCCTTCAGCGTGCTCTCATCTCGGAAGCAGCTCCCGCAGAACTCGCACTCGTATGGATGGTCCCCTGCTGAAATGTGGAGAGACAGAAGCAAAGCTGACATCATCCGCACACAAATTTGTTGTGAGAAAAAAGGCAGTAGAACAACACTTCTTGAGCATTTGTGAAGATACAGACTGAAGGACAGGATTAACAGACTTGAGTATGAGGGCCGAAAACATTAAGCTTTGGTTACGTGCACAACTTCATTTGAAAGTTGTTAAAACCTTAACTGAAGTCAAGTTTATAGTTGGTTGGCTCTCACCAGATCTACTGTGGTTGGATTCACACCGCCCAACACACATACGACTTTGATACCAAAAGGGAGAAACATTACTGAATGTCTTTTTTCTGATTGTTTTGGTTGGCTTATGCACAACGCCAGAACAATAGGTGTTTATGCTCTAACGGATGCACACTTAACAGCCTTAATACCAGCAGACAATGTAACCCATCTGTTGTCTTCTCTACAAATCACCTGCACTGTTTGCTTTGTGTAAAATAAACGTAGCCTGTCATGGCTGTTCTTGAGATGTGTTATTGCCCAGCCGGTACTACTCTCACAACACATTAACGGATAACCTGATTGACGTATATATGCATGTGACTATATAGCTCATATACCTAATTATTCTATTTTAGATTATTTTCATCTCCCATTTGACTGAAATCCAATTTATGTTTGTCTTTTTTATATTGCGTCGTGTTTCTTTTCCATCTTTTCTTAATGCCTTTTTGTTTTATGGTAAGCACTTTGAATTCCCTTATTGCTGAAAGGTGCTATACAAATAAACTCGCCTAGCCTTTAATTCAAGAACTCACAAACACGTTGATTCCTTCACTCCCTCAAGGCAGATGGTTGTTTAATGAAGGCTGTCAAAAATGCAAGGATTTAAGTACATTTGGACGTGGCAGCCAATCACCGTCCTCTGTTTTGGTTTGAATATTGCAGCAGGCTAACGAGAGGAAGAAAAAGGGGTGTTGGGTTGTTTCATGTACTTAATTTAGATCGCCATCTTGCTCTCAATGAAAAACATCACAGCTGACAAGACCCAGAGAACTCATTCATCTCTCTGACTGAAACACTAAGTGCTGCAGATACAATGTTTAAAACATTCATATTTCGACCCCAGGCCAGCAGTGTACAGGAGATCAAATGGACAAAAATAGGAAGCACGGCATTTGGCATCAACGTGTGTAGTGTTGCAGGTTGGAGCACTAAACCTGTCAAAATGTTGGCACAACCTTTTACATTGTTCGCATGAGAGTGAACGTTTATTGGTCACTTGCTGCTAAGTTTATTTTTACTTCTGAAACTTTACTGTTGTACGACGGTGTATTAATGCAGGGCCATTGTAGATAAAGAAATAAACAAATATGGAGCCGGAGGAGGGGGTGATACTCCAGGGAAAAGACGAAAGAGATTCAGGAAGAAATTACTCCACTGCATCTTTACATAGAAAATAGTTTACTGCTAAATTAATGTTCTCAATGTAAAATACAGCTCCTTTAATAGACATCTTCAATAATACAGAAAACATTTAGGGAAACTTTTTGCCCTTTTCTTTTGCTGAAGAACTGAAACTGAAAATAAAGTTGTCGACACATTCATCGGCATTTCCATACCTTTAATTTCAATGTATTGCCTCATTGTCAGCATCCAATCTATTTATATTCATGGCTCCTCAGTCTAATGCCTTCAGACTGGGTAAATGTATTCTCAAGTTTTATTAACACAGCACCACATTTCCGTTCTGAGACAGACTCATTCCAGACACCACGCTGGCAGTGGATGTACAGTACGTGTGCCTTCAGAAATTAAAATGACAACAGGCTTTGCATTTTTCTCCTCAGGCTGCCAGAGCACAGGTTCCCCACGGGGCAGCCGTAATGGCTATTCAGATGTCAATAATCAGGGATAATATGATTTGCAGGAGGCCCTCCCCAGCTGTCCAAAGACTAATTGTATTCCTGTTTGATGAGGAACTGTTCCTTGCATCATTTCCCCCCCCCCCCCTTACGGTTACACTCTCTGGCCAAGTAATGCTGTGGATGTTTAGTAATGTATTTCACACCACCGCTGCAGGTTTAAGTCACCATCAATGACCTATGCCTTTCATTATCTGCCTGTCCGAGCAGCAACGTGCCAGGGAATAAATTGCATTTCTCGTTATGTGCTGCTGCCGCTACCCTGCTGTTGACAGACAATTTCACTAATATCTTGCATATTTTATTCCATGCCCGTATACAGCATGTATGGGTTTATTTGGTTTATTTAGGAGGAGAGACTGACAGAGGGATGAAAGAGGGATGATAGATGGACTCCCCTGAAATGCTGATACCATTTTAGGTGTGCTATACTTTCATGGAAGAAACGTTTTCTGTGCCTTGTGATGTTGAACGCCTTCCCATTAAAGGGAGGCTTTGATGGGGATGGAGGTGTGTGTTTGTGAGTGGGGGAAGGGGGGGGGGGGGGGGGGGGGGGGG